TGCGCTGTTGCCCCCACGGGTAATCCTGGTGGTCTCATAGGGATTAGGGTTACGCAAACGCGGGTTGGTGACTTTAACCGGGTAATCCTCGGGTTGCCACTGCGTTAGAACCCCCATTCCCTATACTACTTACGAAGGAAGAAAAATTGGACAAATGTTTGAATGAAGGCGGCGAGAGAATGAAAGAATGATGACAAGAAAAAAGAAGCAAGGGAAACAACCCTTGTAGCATGCTTTTGATTAACATATTAAAATTATTTTCGATAAAACATTTGTTCTATTATTTCCTCTACTTTCCTGTTAAAAAATTCCTACCACAGTATTTCCCCTTTTGTTTTCTCAAATTCTCAAACATTTATTATGCGCATGAATTTTTCCTAAATATCATGCGGAAATGAAAAAAAAGATTAAGATGAAAATCAATACTGATTCTTTAGATAGTCCCGTCATCCACCCCTCCGACACTCTTACTAACGAAATAATCAGCCTTGCCAAACGAAATATTCTGACCTCTCTTCTAGGATATAATGTTTTCCGATTTCTGACCACGTGTCATTCCCTAAAGTATCATTACAATTGCAAAACCTGTTAGGCAATAAGACTTCCACCCAGGAGTGGTAAGCGCTTTAGATTTGTTTAATGGTTGCGCATGAAAAGAAACATGAATATGGATACAACTCAAACGAAAAATCTTATTCTCAATAGGATAACACGTTGTTTGAAATGGGAAAACATTACGCCCAAGGTAAATAGATCTATTGCATATGCTCAAATATGAACAAAGGGTTCGTGGATCTGCTGTTGGAATCGCTACTTTCATCAATCTGAGATAATATCGATACTAAATGTCCCAATATATGACCAACCACATTAAAACTGGTTTATTTGATTGTATGATTAAAGTAGAATGCTCAAAAAATAGCTTTCCCGTGGACAAGAAAAAAAGGGGTTATGGTTTTGAATTTCACGGAAATTAAAGAAATTTAGCGTTGCATGCGGCCAAAAGTGAGCCGTGTGTTTACCCCAGGAACGCGCTAAAATTGTCTCAAAAGTGATGTTCGTAGCGGATAATACACGGTGCAATCTTGCGCGTTGCAAGGACCTCGTACAAGGTGTCCGTTTCTTAGCAGGCTTAAACCCATAACTAAAAGTCGAGTTCATTGTATGTCAAAAATTAATCCATAAAAAAGGATTAAAAAGTGCCACCAATTTACGGCATATGGTTTGATCTCTCCCAAATGCACGCGGTACGTTATTGTCATTATCATGGACTTATAATATCATCCTTGGAATACGATTAGGCCTTTTTCTGCATGGTTTATTAGATGAACTGTTATCAAGTCATTCATCATTCTAAATCGTTTCTATGACATGATTGATTGATGATAGCTGAAATGTCTTACTTATGCAGAAAATATATTCCTTCTGATGTACTATAATAGAATGAAAGTCGAAAGAATGAAAATTTCAGTATCCATAAATTTCCTTTCATCGAATTACAACAGCGTAACGGTAAAACTTGGATGATTAAAGTTAAATAATTCATGAAATCGTCTCATAAGAAAGGTACCCTGACAAAATGGAGTTCAACCAAAGGGGGTTAAATAATTAATTTTTATCTCAAAGAAGATTGGAATACGAAATTTTATCATCAGATGGTCGGTGATTTTTATAGCTAATTAAGTGTCGAAAAAAAAGGCATGGGCGGTAGAGCGGTTCATCAGAACTAATAAACAAACATCGCCCAAAGCATTTGCGTTGCATGGATGCTTTTGTCCATTTGCTCCATTTTAATACCTGATGTTACTAAGTATTAATAAGATCATTTTACTCTCTTTAGAGGAACTAAATCCGGTACCGACGCCATACAACAGATTGACAAGCTATATTTGTTTCATTTGAATGCTTGATGCTAAATGTTTTAAAGGAAAGTTTCAATATGATGACAACCCGATAGCCGCCGTCATCCGGCAAATGCTAGCGGACGCCTTCATTCTTTGAGGCACTGATTAAAAGATTTGTAATTAATCTACAGGGTGAAAAGATTTCTCTCGTATTATGTTATTATGATATTATGATGTTTCGAGATTATAAAATTCTGATTTTACTAAACACATATTTGTATATCAGCAAGAAGGAAAATATAATATTAGTTCAATTCAAAACTATGTATATCAATCAAGTAATAGATAAAAAATGAGTGTCTCGTTCAGTGTTTGATCCGGTATCAAGACTCGTTCAGCTGACCAAATACGACTTTTGATTCGTTGTCAAGCTTATAAATGATTAATTATGAGTTTGAGAAAGTACTGACATATGAACACCCGCGTAAGTGGTATATCCCTTTTTGTGCTACAGTGAAACCTCTCCTCACGTACACCTCCATATCACGGACACATCTATATTATGGACACCTCTTACGGACACCTTCATATTATGGACACCTTCATATTATAGACACCTCTATATTATGGACAGATATTTAGGTCCAGGCAAAATCGCCATACATTCTTTGTTTCATAGACCTGGCCTCTATATTAAGAACACCTCTATTTTGAGGACACATTTTCTGGCCCTCCGGTGTCCGTATTATAGAAGTTTCACTGTAAAGGAATTGAAAGATTGATGAAAATAAGGGTACAAGGACCACATAGCAACCTATAAAGCGTACGTTTTGGGGGGAGGGGCGATGGGAAGATGGGAGAGCGGGGGTGGAGCGGGAAAGATAGTAGAAAAGTATGAATGCGACAAAGGTGGAGGTATACGACTTCCAGCTCCTTTCTCTACTTGCTCACTGGAAGAGTAAATCAGCGTTAAGGGAAGGTTAAACATACTAAGAAGCGCGAGATTTGATATAGAACCCTTGCATGTGATGTCAAAGCAGCTCTATCTGGGGGATAAAACAAAACGATTCCAATCTCCTGACAATTGGAATTCTTTTTTTTTGTCCCTCAGATCGAGCTGCTCTAATGTTACATGCAAGGGGTCTATACATACTAGAAGCCGCTGGCTTCTATCTAAAAATACCTGGCCATAGTACGGACGTGCAGTAATTGATACTTGAAATCGCGGAATGACCAAATGAGACCAGGAGCCCCACGCGGCCGGTGAAAAATAAAGGAAGACCCTGGGTGATCTTTGCTAACACATTAGGTCGGGTCTTGACCAGATTTCTAGGCTAAACAAGAAATCCCCCCCCCCCCTCTCCCCACATGGGGAAACAAGACAAGAGTTTGTTCGAGCACTGTTGTTTTTATTGATCTCTTCTACAGATCGATCTTAATCTCATTCCTATACAAGTACATATTTGAGCTCAGTTTTATCATTTATTATTTCTAATAGGTTTTTAGATACTTTTTCATTACTGAATAACTGGGTTACGTTCATTTAAAGTTGATTACGTTGCGTTTACGATTCCTGGAACAAAGGAAAGAAAATTTAGTTTTACGATGCATTGTGGGTATTATTTGTCTTAATATTGAACAAAACTTTAAATCAGTCACTTTACACAGATTAGATGGATGGGATGAAAAGAATAGCAAGCTCTAAAACAGCTTTTTTACCTGAGAATGACGACAATCTATTTCACAATTTTTTTTGCCGGTGTGGAAAATCTTTTGTTTTGATAAACAATGAATTTCGCACCTCGGCTTGGAATCTCTTGACAGTAATGACGTCATTCTCAGTCACTGAATTTTTTATTCATTGTCTGACGTCATTTTAATATACCATAGGAGATTAACTGTTTTTAGTTTGATGGAACTAGAATTGGCCTTCATAATCACGGCAGACCTCTCCAAATACCAATTTTTATGAAGTAAATGATTAGGGCAAATTTTATGATTTTATTTTAGTTACCGAAAATCTGAAAAGTATGGACGGAAAAACGGATAGGAAAATGGCGGAAGCAGGCACCATTTTGTTTTTGAACAAGTTCAATCTAAAACTAGAGTAATTATAGCAAACACCGAAGTCATCTTATTCCTATTTCAGAAATAACCTAATATTGCATGCATAAGTTTAAGGGTTTATTTATGACTCATACCTAGACAAGAGGAAAGAAACTACTTTAACGTATACTCAACACATGTGGTCAGCCATGCCATGGGGGAGGTCTAGTCTTTCAGAAATTTCAGATCAGAAAAATATACTCATTTATTTAAAGACCATATTACTAATTTTACGAGTTCTCTAGCCAGTGATATAACACCAAAGCACATTTTTTGAATAAGCAAACTCAAACAAACAAACAAACAAACAAACAAGCAAGCAAACAAACAAATAAACAAACAAATAAACAAAAAACGA